CATTGTATAACAAGTACTGACATAATATGACAAGTATTTACAATGAATTTGAAATATTTAGGTATCGCGGAAGTCCGGCCGCCCCTGATTTTCGAAGCCCGCTTACTTTTACGCTCTCCACCTTCACTAGGAACGGCCCTGCATCATAAAGATACTTGCACACCTGTGCAAATCGTTGTTGTTTGATAATCCTTGTTACCTAAAGAAATTTGTTAGAAATGCGCCTGCCTTGAAGACGAGCGTCCCTGATGAGTATCATTTTCTAACTTCAGAAAAGCACTCTTCATAAAAGTGCATACTTATGTAAGTTCAATTTTTGTTTTCATTACTGACTAGCAGTGGAGTAGCTAGGGTGGGGCAAGGGAGGACATCTATCCCCGGGCGCAGAATTCAGGGGGCGCGAAATTGATGTTACGAAATTTTAGAATGAAATGTTTTCCGTTCTTGACACAGAGAAAGGGGCGCAAAATCTTCAGGTTGTCCCCGGGCGCCGAAAACCCTAGCTACGCCTCTTCTGACTAATTAATTAAGCGAAGGATCAAATAAATCTTCGGCACCTTTATGCAAATTCACTTCACTGGACTTTGTATAAATGTACCCTTTGAGAAATGTGTGACGAGCGTTTCCGTAGAAAGATCTTGTTTTTCACAAAAGTGCCGAAAATTAATTCCATCCACTGCATCATTAATTAATTAATCTGCAATGCAAATGAAAACCCCATTCGCATAAAGAGACCTGCCTTAAATTGTCCGTATCCTTACAGAGGTTGCATTTTTCAAAATTACAGATTGATTTTTTGTAAGGTTCACATGCCTTTATGCCAAGGCACCCTTACAAAGAATTTTATTTTTTCGAACAGCGATCGATCTTTATAAAGGTGTATTCACCATTATATCTGGGTGCTATTATGAAGGTGTCTCTAAGAACCACCGCAAAAAAATACCATACATCGCAGATTATCATCGCAATAACTGGGCACATTGCAGATAAAATTAAAGAAAGGCAAGGTGAGCTGCATAATATCCATTGATTCTAGATACTCCTGTTGGAGCCACAATTGCATATATGTCTGTGCATTTTAATTTTGGTATAAGCATATATACACATCTTCCATAACATGCGACCCATCCTCCTATATACCAGGTGTTTCGGTTGATCTTTGCCATTTGACATTCTATATTCTTACCCTGAAGAGACCATGTTCATTGAAACAGGTTCTGATGCAAATGTGCAAACATTAATATTATGATACACATGTGGTTGGGCACCTTTTCCCATATATTCTTACAGTGGCTCCTCCATTGCCGTCAGCTGTTTGATACACGAAGTGAATGTCTGCAAACTCTGAATTCGTAAAACGGTATATACTCTGTGGTTGGAATCAGAAAGCTCTCCAAGTGCCTACCAGGAGCACTGGTACTAAATACAGATTTATCTGTTTTTTCCATTTCTGGCCTTGTTGCTCCATATAAATACGGTTTATTTTCGTTTGATTTTTATTAAAGATGAGTCAGCCTGTATATATAACAGAAAGATGAATTGTATTTTGCGATGCATATGAGAGGTTATCTTTAAAGTGGGGGAACTTAACAAAGCAAGGTTATTCGTAATTATGTCATAACGAAAAAAAAATTGTTTTTAATATTATATAATCCTAACTAATATTATAAATGCGAATGCGAGTTTGTTTGTGCGTTTGTTTATTACCCTTTCACTTTTTAATTACTTAACCGATCACCATGAAATTTTCAAGAAAGATGAGAAAAGGTTATAGGCTATATAATGTAACTTATCAGTTGAAACTTAAACTATACAATAAGTTTTATAGTTAAAATGATTGCCGTTGTATAAACATTAAATGTTAAACGATATAAAAGTTTGTCTGCGCGCACAGGTGCTTGGCTTGTCTATAAAATGTTTGCGTGGTTTAAGCCACGCAAACATTTTATAGACAATAAATATTTAATAACAAATAACCTTTTCTAATGCATTTTGCCAATAATTTATAGCCAAACGAAGTTTCATAGGAAATATTTATAATTTTTTCCTTCATTTAAAGTCGGTCTTTTCAAAAATTTGGTATAGATTCGAACCCGCCCGCCTTCACAAATTTCAGTGTGTGTGTGTTGTGTTATGGCGAAAGCCTTCGAGGGCTAGCTGCCTAAGAGGAGGGAATGCCGTCGTATGGAAGGACTTTCTAAGGGAAATGTTATGGGGAAAACCAAAAACGCCCATTTAGAAGCCTCGGTTTCGATTTAATCGGCCCGAGAAATCATGAGGTTAGGAGTTCGAAAACTCGGCGAGGGCAACGTATATTTTTCCTGCCTATTGGCGCCTGAAGTAAAATGTGGTAGCCTATAATATGTCACTATCAGGATTTAGCAACTGATCCTTACCTTCCTTGTCGCCCTAGAAGTGGGGGAGAATGCAAGGAATTTTCTCCTTTATTACCGCAATGGAAAATTTGGCTAGGGTATTGCACCTTTTTCATATTCTGGCTAGGCAGAAGAGTACCAGGGGGAGCAGAACAGCCAGGCCACTGATTAAGAGGAGAGGCCTCCGAAGAACCTTAAGTTTTTAAGTATATATTAAAAAAAAATGAAGCTAAAATGTGGTCTGTATTGGGAGAATCAATCCCTAACTCATAATTGGCACTAAAGATATCTTTGGGACGGTGTATGTTTCAGTTGCTCCATGCTAGAGAAGCTTTTTGAAGTTGAAGTGGATTAAAAGCTATCTTCGATCAACAAGGTGCCAAGATTTAATGGCTTGTCAGTCTTTTTGCATTGAACAATACGGTAGCTAAACATGTTAATGAATTTTTGACAAAACTATAAACAAACTTTCGTAAGTCAAAATTCACTAAAAACAGTTATAGCTTTTTTATTTTTAGAAAAGTTAACAATATTTTTTAAATCATCAAAAATAGCTGATTAATAAGCATTTTTAAATATAAATTTGTTTTCTAAATGTAATTTTTCCCCTTAATCTTAAGACTTGCTTTTCAAATCAATTCAAATATTTAATTTTAATTAAATAAATGTTAATTTTATATTTGTGTTGACATTTTGTATGGTGATCATTCCGATATAGGGTGACCAAGTGAGATTTCCATCCTGAGCATCGATAATTAAGTCTGGCACTGCAGATAGAATTTTGCATATTTGCCCTATTTCTTACTTTGACAAATGTAATGATTTTACAAAATTACATGTTCTATTTGTACAACTTTTCCATCCTTAGATCAGTCAATATACTAAGCATAAAACCTATTTCAAACATTCTGCGTGTGTGTATTTATGTTTTATTTAAGCTAATAGAAAATATTTAATAATGGAAATTTCCTTCATCCAGAGTCAGTTTACAATCCATAAAAGATAATAAGATTAATACCAGTAATAATGTATAAATAATGTAAATAATGAGTAAAATGCATAATATATTTTAATAAATGAAGCTGGAAATTGCAGATGTGTGAATCTTGAAATAAATACTGATAACCAAAAAAACAGAATAGAAATTTGTGCTTATTTTAAAAGTGAATAATACAGGCAAAGTTAAAATAAAAATAAACATTATCAATGAAGAGTAACATTACTTATACTACATTAAGGGGCAAGCAAATGTGTATATGTAAATGTGTGCATTAGTGGTATTTATGACTTTACACTGAAATTCTGATTCCCCCATGAGGGGGGGAATCAGAATTTTTTTAATAGGTAAAGAAGCTAATGGGATAAATGAAACTAAGGGAATTATTGATATGTTGTCCTCTATTAAAGACATATGTGTTATTTTGTTCCATTGGCTAATTCATTTTCACATTGGACTTGTAATTGAATTTTAAATTAAGAATGAATCTGTGTGCTTTTTCAGGGAAGGGAAGTTATGCTTTATAAAATTATAAGTATGCAATATTTACAATTAAACAGAAAATGAGAGGTGTATGAAAAAATTACAAGAAAAAAAGGGAATTTTAAATTTTTTGACAGGATGAAATTTAAAATGCTTATCAGTCATGGTTAATAAAACTTAGCTGAATATTAAATATATGTATCAAATTTATTGAGAATAAAAATTGAAGCTAACAGAATGATAATAATAAATTAAAAAATTTATTTACATGCATACAATTTTATGTTAAATATACAGAAAATTTTCATACGAGAATACAAGAATAAAGAATTGTTTTATTAAAGAGTCTTGAAATAACTGTAGCTTTTTCTTTCACTTTTAAATTCAATAACTCTTAAAATTATAGTGATATTTATAAAAGCATAATAAAAATAATTTGATTAAACATTCCTTTTACATATTAGGCCAACTAATATTACATATTACAGCTCATGAAATGTTTCTGGTATGGAAAAAAGGATCCTTCTAAAAAATTTTCTTTACATATATATAACTAAAAATGTATCAGTTCATTTTTTCTATAATTATGTTTTATGAAAATATTCTTAAACTATTGAAAAGAATGAAATTTCCTTCATTTTCAAATGATTATGAGATGGATTTTAATGTAATGCTGATAAAGAAGATATTTTTAACATTAAAACAGAAAAATCTAAAATAGCTAAAACATATACACCCTTGGATAAAAATTTGCGAGGAAAAAATTATAAATATTAATGAAAATAAAATTTTCATAGCACATAATTTTAGCATTTTAGTAAAAAATTATAAAAATTGCATCATTATACTTTACATACAGCCACTTTACTGAGATATTTATTTCAATATTAAATATATAAATTTCATGTTTCATTTCCTATTTATCTATTTCACTATCTTCTAATTTGACAAATTTTGTCTCAAATCTCAGATAATGCATTAATTCTAGATTCAGCAGCAATTACTTTCACAAAACATATATGAAATTAACAAGATGCTATTAATTTTGCACGAAGGCTTTCCATATAAAATTAACTTCTCAGATTTTCTACATTTATATAGTTCTATATAAAAAGAGCATTATTTTGGAACATAATGACCAATATGAAGTAATAATACATAATTTATAATTTTAATAGTCACAGCATACTGAGATATTACATTTGGCTCATTGTAGAACCATAGCCTGCATACCCAGCAATGCAATCATTACCATAGTCTTCATATCCAATGATACAATCATTTTGCTTATCATATGATAAGCTTGCTTTAAATTGATTTCATTAAAGGGTACAATAGAATACCTGCCATAGCTTTTCAGTTTATTGCCATATAACTTTATCGCACTAAGCACAGCAACTGAAAAATTGGTCACAAGATTTGTGGCTTAATTGTCTGATTTTCCGAGATTTAGGTATTAAGTTTTTATTTTGACTGACATTCCTCTTTGGAATGTCACTGGGTTTGCTTGATGCAGCCACTTGCCCTGAAGATGGTTAGCTTGGCTGTTCACAGCTTTAATGAAGCTTGCCGCAGGGTGGTGAATTCTACTGCATAACTAAGCAAATAGCTCCTTCACATTTACAAGTCTGCTGCTTCTGCACACCTAATCAGCTGGAAGGGATAAAAATTATAAACATAAATAATTACAAAATCGATTCACAATAAATTTTATATTTTAGTTAATTTATTTATTGAATAAAATAAATGTGAAAGTAATTAAAAAGCAGCACTGAATTAAAATATTTAGTAATACTCATAGTGTAACAACGCTGATACTGCAAATGCTAAATTAAACGAGTATTGGGACTTTAAAGCATTAGAAATGAGTGAGTGTTGCATACAAAGGTTAGCATTTTGGATGCATAAATTCATGTCACACATAGAGAAAATTATGAAAACTTCCATGCAGCCAGTCTATTTGGCAGGATACACAAGTAATAAACATGTTTAATAATGAAACATAATAAAAATATTAATAATTAATGAGGGAAAATTTATAGTTTTGTTCTTTTTATTTAAGTTAATATTTCTATTGTGAAAACTATCTAACTTAATACACTATTCACTTTCTCTTTGCCAGTACTAAACATTAATTCTGAATTATAATAAATTTTCTAACTGCTCTGTTATTCATTCACAATAGTAATGGCTTGAGTTAATTTCTTCTGCGTTTATTTCATTTATAACCTCCCAAAGTTTTCAACTACATTTTATCCTATAGTTCTAATCTGAGGTAATGTGCTGCAAATATCAAGTGTTAAACTGTCATAATAATAATACTATAGACAACTGAAGTTAACAAGCACATATTGTAAAGCTTCAATCATATGCAGAAGTGATTTATATGCAAGTACAGTCAAAAGTCGTTAATCCGGACTCGTCGGGACTTCGGCGATTCCGGATTATCGATTTTTCCGGATTATAGATCATCAGTTTAAATCTGGTAAGATGGCATGCAGAAATTACAAAATTAAAAATATGAAACCATAATTTATGAAATAAAGAACAATTATGATCTAAAGGGTATCAAAATTTACAAAAAGAAAAAGCTTAATATTTATTTGTTTACTTTATTAAACATTTATTTCAATGTAAGTTGCTTCGTTTCATGTGATAACACTTTCTCTTTAATTCTATTAAACAGACATAATTTCTCGTTTAGTTACAAAGTTCCGCTGTTCAAGTCCTATAATTGCTGTGTTGAGAATACCGACTAATTTGTCAATGGAAATGTTTTCGTTTTCAATAACCTCTGGGTCACTTTCTTCACTATCGAAAGCGAATTATAATGACGAGGAACTTGATTTAAATCATATCAAAGACGGAGTACATAGACATGAAATACTATACTTAGTAAGGAATTATAAGCCAAATAAAATAAAAACATCTGCCCTGAAGATAAGGATAGTGCTGACAGATCAACTTCCAATCCGCGGCGTGAAATTGATAAACAGATTTCGAATTTCAGAACATACTTTCGCTTTGTAGATATAAATTACATATTAGTAAATATATATCGGAAATTCTATTTGACATAATCGAAAGTTCAAGCTTACTTTTATGAAATTGTTCTAAAAGTCTGCAAAAAATAATAAGCAGGATCCAATTCAAAGATTAAGGAGCAACGCAATGTGCAACATTAACTGAATCAGATAATTTTAGCTTAGCTTATACCTCCGTTACGCATTAAACGCGCATGTGCACAAACATATTCGCAGCCGTAAAGGTCTTACGCGCACTCTTAAACGCCTGTGCGCATGCGTGAACGCAACGCATGCGCAGAAAGTTTGTAGCTTTGAGGTCCGGATTATAGATCATTCCGGATTATGGGTGTCCGAATTAACGACTTTTGACTGTATATCTTTATCATTTGGCCAATTTGAATTCAACAAAATAATCTAATTTTCATAACTTTCTCAATTTTTATTGTCTGCAGATAATCAAAACCATTTTTAAAGAGGGACTACTGCACATTATTGTTAAGAAATATATCACATTGACATTCTTCAGCTTTATTACTTTTTAACTTTAACAAATTAATATTTAAGTACTAAAAATTAAATATAACACAGTTATAGCTCTGAAGCTATGTGACAGATGCGACGAGCGAAAGCTCTGAAGTCAGATTCCAATCAGTCTGGGTCGTATTTATTTTGCATATAAAACAATACATGTGAATTCTAGTTAAATAGAACCAATGACTAAAAAGCACTTGTTTTAAAAAATACATAATAAAAATGTATTTTTCATATTACATATCAATACAAAATAGCATATTAAAATAAAGTCGTAGCTGCCCGGATGGTATAGTGATTAGGGAAGCCTGAGTACAATACTGAGGGACCCGGGTTCGAATAACGAACAAGGCATGGATGTAAATTATCTGTCCCTTCATAGGAGGCAAAGGTGGCCTGCCTATTAGGTGCCTCCATAATAGATCACCATATCTGATTTTAGGAGTGGCCAATGCCGGCATAGGCAAGCATCCACCATTGGAAACAAAAAGTACATGTGCAAGAAATGGAGTTATTCTGATGCTAATGGTTTCATAAAATTAATTATTCTTTTCTGATAACTCGATTCATAATTATAATGTGGGGAAAAAAGAAGAAATATAGAATATCAAATCCCATTTACTTTCCTGAACCAAAGTATGAAAGTAACAGCACAGTGTATAAAAATGTTGAACAACTGCATCGTCTGTTAACACAGTTATAACTGAAGTACTGTTTTGAAGAAGGGTATGGAGTTTTATGGCAATTAGCATATACTTTGATGCTTCTTATTTCATTAAAGCTAATTCTTATATATAGGCATAGTAATGTTTTGTTCATCAGCATTTTATGAATTATTGACAATTTCAAAACAACAAGTATAAATATGCAAAATAAAATAAGGAGCTGTACGACTTAAAGCTCATATAAATTGGAATACCTTATGTTGGAGCATTGCTGAACTCATACTTAAAACAGAATAAAATGATAAATGAAAATCAAAACACTACTATATATGCACTGTATGTTACTTCCTTATTAAAGCAGACAGTCTGGATATATTTAAAAGTTACAAGTTACAAATTTGGTGATTCAATCAGCTTATTTTGTTATGGTGTCTTTATTAAACAATAATCAAATGTCACCTATGGATATTCTAATATATTTTAAGAACATTAGGCTTAAATAAAAAGTTAAACTTTACCTTTCTGGATTTTGGAAAGCCTAACAGATTTCAGTTCACAAAAGTCCCATTTATTGCTATTACAGGCCACACATCGAGCAAAAGCTTTCATTGAAGGGCAGTTCAACCTGAAAAAAGAAATTAAATCACCATTTAAAATTTCATGATCAGGGTAACAATACAAAGGTTTAGCACTTGGCTTATAAATAATCCTGCTCTTTCAGAAAAATTTAATTGCCATGACAATAGATTTAGGTTGGTAACTTATTTCTGTAAAAAAATGTTATGCCCTTTCCAGGAAAAACATGAGCACACATATTTACCATATAACATATTCCTCGAAGTATAAACACAATGGCTTCAAATCACATTAATTAGAAAGTTTGATTTCATTTCTACTTTAACCAGGTTGCCTTCATGGCCATATGACATACAATATATTCTTTAAAATAAAGACTAATGTAACAGATTCAAATAACAAATTTAAAAGTTTTGCCCCATAAGTGAAAACATAACTTTGTGAAATAAATCTTGCATCCAATTAAAGGCCATGAGAACTGATGTTTGACAAATACTAAAGAAATATTTATTTATATTTTTGATGCATTAGACATGAACCTGATTTAATCAAAAAAACTTTAATATGGGGGATAGGTTGGAATAGCTTTAACTTCTTTGATAAGCTGAAGCATGTTTAGAACAAAATGTTTTAATGACAAGTAAATTTCCATCATTTGCAAATCATTATATTATTAGAAAATACATTTTAATGAGATACTAACAACTATGACATTTTATGCATAAAAAGAGTAAAAATTAAGCCAGTTATCATTTGGCTTTGTGGTGTCATCGAAGCTTTGCTTCTTCTCCCAGCATAAATTCTTTGGTGGTACACTACTATACTGTCAACAATATTGTTTTCATATTAGTTCCACAACAGTAAATTAACATGTTCCAGTTCAGAGTTTGAATGCATCTGAAATGTTTTGTGCACAGTTTGAATTTAAGAAAAATCTCTTTCCTTCAGACTTATATTTTCAGCTTAATATTCTAATGATTTACTTTTTTTGAAATCATATACTACAGCTATATCCATTTGACTTTGAAGGGAAGATTAATAATTTTTATCTTCTTATATCCTACCCATATATCTTTCTTTCTGAGTAGCTATGTGCAGAGTTAAAAAATGTATAGACATATAAAAATAATAAGGATAGCTTAATTATTTTTATTGAGAAAAATTAAATGTGCATAGCTATATATGTAAGAATACATAATTAAATTAGTCCAAATCATATTTAATGCATCTCCATATCTATTTTAATATTTTCATTTAATATGTATTTAAATGCACTAAATATAAAAATTTATCATTAGAATTCTTTTAGTAAAGTAAGAAAAATAAATAAATTTTTGCAAAATATGTTAAAATTTGGTCATTTAAAACTTTGCCCATTTTTCTTATAATAGTTTTTGCGAAAATATAAAAAACTTTTTTTTCTTTTACCGTAATGCTTCGAAAAAACCCCATAAACGTTTGCGAAAATAAACTAATAATGATTTGCGACTTTCAAACTTTATTTTCTCTTACCGTAATGTTCGAAAAATAACCCCATAAACGTTTTGCGAAAATATGAACTAATAATGATTTGCGACTTTCAAACTTTATTTTCTCTTACCGTAATGTTCGAAAAGTAAACAGAAAATTTCCCTTTTCCTCCTTCAGGAAAATTCCCTGTGTGGGTTGCAACAATTATCAGGGTTACCATATTCTGGCGCACGTACGCTCACTTCCGATGTAAACAAATCCGCAATTTCGCCAAGTGCCGGTTATGGAAACATCCCCGATTAGGAATAGACAGAAGGTGATTACGTGACTTCGATGTCACATTTTGGGAGAGGGTGGGTTGGCTAAGTGAAGTTAGTATTTGCATTTTTAAACGGAAAACCAAAATTAAATAATTGAAGCCATAATGGGAGCCCGCGTTTGTGAAGGAGAGGAAGAAAATTCGGGTTTTAAGACTATTTCGTGCGAGACTTGGTGAGACGTACTTGCTTGCTGAACTTACGTTTGGACGTTACTTTTTGCCCGACTTTGGACTAGTTTTGTTGAAGGATTTAAGACTTTAGGATTAAGTCTTTTTGCTGGATTTCCAAGGCTGAAGGATTTGTTATGCTTCTGTGGTTGAATAGGTGGTGATTAAGGCGGATCGTGGCGGACACTATCCGACCGTCGCTTTGCTGTCGAAAAGAAAAAAAAAAAAAAAAAATGATCCAGCGAATTTCCAAAATTATTGGCCAAGTTCCACCCCGGCCAATGTGAGATTTTATACTCGACATCCTGACTGCGATCTTGAAGATTCTGCTTGGGTGCTGGTTCGAGGGCTTGTTTTTCTGCAAGGCTGTGCGAGCGGATTGTGTTGCCGAAAAAGGAATGGAGTCAGGGTTATTAGGCTAGTGGCACCGAAAAGCGTGAGACTCCTTAGATGCCTGTGTTCCCCTTACAGAATGAATTTCTTAGGAATTATGGTGGAATTATAACCCTTTGAATTTTCTCCCAGAATGCAAGGCCAGCCCAATACCTTTCTGGGTGCGTTTCAAGTGGTCAAAATCACAGATAAGTGCTTTATCAATTTTCCTTAGAACTTTTTGGAAATTGGAAATTTACCTAAAATTGAATCTTAAATTCAGTCTACTGAAACTGAATTGTTTCCCTTTCCCCTTCTAAATTACCAAGACAAACCTTAAGGTTTTTATATGAATTATTATGTAATAATTTAAGTTGTTTGGGTAATCTTCCTTAGAACAGATGTGAATTGCAAATAATATGTTTTCCTTAACCTCTTAGAAATTATAGATCGGGTACCTGTTAAATTAAAAGAGTCATGTAATAGATTTGCAAATCATGAATTTAAATGTAACAAAAAGTAAATGACAAATTGAAGAATTCCCCTTAGACTCTCTGATGAGGATAAGATTTAATTTTTATTGTGAGGAATTTGAATAAACTGATATTTAATCTGGAAACCTATTACTTATGTGTTCTTTATATCTGTTATGTGTTTTTCTTATATATATATTGATTCTACATGTTATTTATTCGATCCTCTCACGGCTCGGTCCCGGATGCATTTTCACAACGCAATGCATTAAAAATTCACTTATACGATCACTAAAAGTTTGGTAATTAGCAAACTCTTAAGAGTTTAGTTTCTCAGTTGCTTTTTAGTTAGTTGCAGTTTCACCTGTCTGTTTCTGCATTAGTTTCCTCCCTAAGAGGAATTAGTAACACTGCATTGGTGCCCATGATTTTTACGGCAAAGTATAGAAACAGAACATTGGTATAGTAACTATTTAACAAATGTTATCTTTTGAAACATGAAAAATTTTATTTTGTTCATGTACGTACAATATTAGATATTCTTTATTAACCATTATTATATTATTAACCATAATTATTATTTATTAACCATAATGCTGTCATCAATTTTTTAAAACTTGAAATGAGTTCTATGTTGTAATAATTCATCTGCATGATTGTTATTTTCAAAATACTTCATTTAAACAAACTGCAATAATCATGTCTAATAATTTTGTTTTGTATTTTTAAAGTGTACAATTAGAAAAAAAAATTTTTATTGATATATAGGTCTTATCTGTCTCTGTAATGTAGAAATTTTCTTCAAATTTGTGTGCAACAGCAAATTGTTATCGCAATGGATTCACGATTAACCAGGATAATTCTAGGGAGCACATCACAGTTAATCTGACAGCAATTTAAAAAACACAAGTAACTATATTACAATTAAAAGAAAAATAGTATTCACAATGTGCTTTTATTTTTAAACAATTTTATTTGAAGAATAAGTCTATTTAATTATTTTAATTAAATCAAATTTTAATGCAAGAAGAGGGCACTTAAAAATTGGAAGAACAATATTTTTGTTTATAAAATTACACTTGTATTTCAATATGCATCAATCAGAAATAGATGGCTAATGGATATATATTCTTATATATTCTAGATGATGCATAATTACATGACGTACTGTTGTGGATTAAAAAAATGAAATACTGTGAGACATCAGATGCTATCACTGCTATTCTTCCATGCATTTTATTCTTCTCTTAATATTTCCCATTCAAATTTTGCTTTATTCTGGTGGTTTCTAATAGTAATTTTTCCATCATTCCACTATAAACAAACTTTTTTTTTTTTTTTTTTTTAAAGATAAGGCCTGCTTGGGAGTTGACTGTACTTTCATATGCTTAGATAGAAAAGATATTATGTTTGTAATATATTTAGTGATTAATGATCATCATTTTAATTTCCCGCAAACTGTTCAACATATTAGATCAATAAAGATTTTATTTTTTCAATAGATGGTCTTTTCCTGCAATGAATTACCTTCTTTTTCTCATTTGCTATAGGTTGCTGTAAATTTTCCCAAAACTTCTATGGACATTAAAGCTGACAGAATAAGCTTGACTAGGAGTCTATCTGAACATAGGTATATTTTTCAGAATGTAATGTCCTAAATAACTCTGCATGTTTTTTCTTATTTTTGAATTTATTCTTTGTAATCTGTGTATAATCTTTAAATTTCTATCCATTTGATTAAGATGCCATAATTTATCTCTGTCTGTATTGTATAACCTTCCATTTGGTTTACAAAAGTTTTAGCTTAATTGACAAAATTCCAAAGCTGTGAATGTGATATAACTTATGAATCTAAAATGTTATAGCGATCAGAGCATAAGCACAATTTTCTATGTTCAAATGTATATGCAGACCTCTCCAAACATAGATAACATAGGAAATTGCTTAGGTAATGATTTTCTAAGGACATCAAGTAAGTTGTCAAGAGCAGCACTATCCTGCTGGAACTACTGCGGGTAAAATGCTAAAACACTGTATTTTGATTGCAGGGTTTTTTTTTTTTTTTCCATATCCTGATATCTGCGTGAACTGAAAATTAGTAAGTTAGTCTCAATAGTGAATTAATTCGAAAGGGAATTGATCAGTTCCTAAATGCAGATTATTTCAGAAAGAATAAACAGATCTTACTTGCTTTAAGAAGTGTTTCTAACAATGCAAAAGCATATTATGCATTATAGGAAAAAGATAAAAGTTTGTAATGTCAGACATTCTCTGTAATCATTCTATGTATCTCCCAGTAAGTTGATATATATCAGAGTGATAATCAGTTCTATGCCAGATTCAATCAATTTGCACAGTAGCTGCAGAATGTTCTACTCCAGTAATTCTCAGACTAAATTATTATAATGGCATGAATAGAGTCACTTGCACAAGTTTTATTAATTATTAGAGGAAAAAGAAGAAATGAAAGATTGGATTTGGAGACTTGCACAGCCAAGAACACAGCATGTGTTCATTTTAAATTATTTGACAGATGGAACAGAGAAGAGTAATTATCTGAGTGTTAAATTCATAAATGAAAATGGAAATATATGTATTTTTATAAGGTATTCCATGACAGTTTTGTACTAGTAGGAATAATAATTTTGTGAGTACATTCCGTTTTATAATTTTTTAGTTCACGATATCTGAATTTTCTAAAACAGAAGTTCTTTATATAGATGTACCCTAATGTGTCATAATGGTCTTTCTGGGAAGATGCGGGGTGTCTTACATTAATATTTTTATGCTTAATATGGTGCTTATCATGCTATATTTGTTTACTTCTTACATTACATTACGTTTCCTTTCTTTCTATTACAGCATAATATAGTAACACATTTGAATTAAGAAGACATTGCTGCTTAGGGAATTACAGAAATTTTTTTGTGATAGAAGGGAAGTGCAGAGTTTGAAAATTTGTGAAAATTATTTAAAATTCATGAAAGAGAACTGAACAGATACCCAAGACATTCTATCCAAGATTACTGTTGATCTCCACAATGAGCAGATATGCATTAAAGGGGTTTCACAAATTAAATTTTGAGGGGCCCTTTATTCCAATGGGCCCCAGACTATTTTTCAAATTTCATGTACCCTGTGTCTTAAGATTTAAGATGAAGACCTCACAAATGCTCAGGTGAGAAGCATTGTGCTTTTATAAATCTACTGTTAAAAACAAGTACTCTTCCTGTAAAATGACTGATGCAAAAAATCCACACCAGACAAGAGTATATTAAATCCATTTTCCCTATAGCAGTCACTTATTATAATATCTTGGAGTTATCATAAGGAACATCAACTGTAGTAATATATTTTGGGTTATTTAATTAATAGTGACTGCCAAAGTTTAAACAAGGTTGTAAGCAGCTTTGTTTTCTTGAGAAATTTTTTTTTAAATTCTTTTTTCTTCTCTTTTGTATCTTCTTTTTTCAATGAAAGTATATTAAATCTTTTTCTTTTAATTAATTAAATCTTTTTTAATTAGTTTTAGTAAATTAAGTCTTTTTCTTTTGATTAATCATTAATTGTCTAGTTGTTTAAGGTGAAAACTGTAAATTACGTGATAATTCTTGTGATGTAGCAAAAGAAAACTCAACTAGATTTTTATTCTTTTTGTAGTACAACATCTCAGAGGTCAAGGGAAGCATCTGTGAATATTGGTAAGTGTTGCCATCTACTATACAGTATTAAATTCACTTGTTAACAAAATTAATTGCTTATTATAATGAAATATCTAGAAACCAAAACAATGTATACAGTACAAATAAAGTTCAAGATCTAAAATTGTTGGAACTTTGACAATTGTGTATTTTGTAAATTTCAAGATTTTAGGTCATTGGTTTAAGTTTAGTAAGATAGGTGGAAATTATAAATATGAAATAGTTGTTAATGAAATAATAAAGCATTTGTAATCTTAAGGAATTTAAAAAAAAAAAAAAAAAAACTCAGAATTTATTTTTGGGTTTTATTAAACATTTCTATCAATGAAAATTTTTAAGTAATTTTATATTTTGGGCTAATACTTTCTCTTCAATTTTATATAAAAGCATAACTTTGTACAGTTATATGTTCAAGTCCTGTAATTGCTGTGGCAAGAATTCACTCTAAACTGTCAATCAAAATCTTTTTCATTCTTAAAAAACTCTTTATCTCTTTCTTCACTATCAGTAGTGATATTTTCTGGATTTAAAATCAAACTACGGATTTCGCCATCTATTAGTTGATTGCTGATTATGGCATTTTCATTGCAGTTAAAATTTCTGTTATATCATCTTCGAATTAGAAAATTCTGCCTTCTGTAGTATTCAAAATAAGTTCAAAACAAATTACACTGAAATAAATTTGTTGTTTTGCCTAATTTTGAGATCACACTTCCTTAAGCCCGAACTGCGGCAAAACTGTTTTCTGCTGTGAAGGCCACTATAGAAGGCAAGTACCTAATATGCTTTTACTTTGCAGAACCTTACAAGCTCCAGAAACTCTTTTCAACATAATCAAAAATTCAAGCTTTAATTTTGATAAGATAGTTGTAATAATAATAGCCTGCATAAAATAATAAGCTAAGTTCAAATTAGAAAGTTAAAGAAGAATGCAGTATGCAATGTTAACTTCTAATTTTTTCTCTTTTCCAATGATGTGATGCCAACAAATGAAAAAAAATATAAATAATTGCTAGTTTAACTGAAGTTCTTTGGAATATAATTCTTTGTATCTTCCACATTGTTTTGCCAACAAAAGAAAGCCAGTATGAGCAAAATTTCACTCCACACAAATATGTCTGGGAGCTTCATTTATTGTTTAAATCAGATAGAAAAATGTTAAACCTCCCCATAGCTGCTACAGAGCCAAAAGCATGGTCATGCAATCAGTGCATTGTCATTCATTGGCCACGGTGTTATTCCTTAGCCAGCATGTGTTTGAAAGTCAGGATTTGAGCTAGTTGGGAGAAAAACTGCTTTTATTGCATGTACCCTTTTTCACACTCCATTCCTAGACTTTGTAAAGAAAGAATCCTTACCCCTTCCTAGAAAAAAAATATTGGATCGTTTTGAATATTGAATGTCCGCATTTTGGATTTTGTACTGTACTAATCAATAGAAAAATCTACCACTTATAAACTTTAGATTAGGAAAAAACTGATTCTTTAATGCTATAATATCCTGCTTGTATTATAAGGTATTTCTCCCACCTTCTTAGCATGCTTTCAAGGTGTAGTGGTCAGCATCCTCGACACATATTCGAGAGGTCTGTGGTTCAAGTCCCAGCAAGGGTATTGCTCATTTTTCATCTCTCCTGCCTTGAAATAACCTAATGTCTCTACAGTACCTATAAAAGGTGTTTGTAGTCCAGCCATTTAACTGATTGGGACCGTGACTTATATGTCTTTCAGATAAGTAGTGCTTCAATAAAATTAGTTTGACCAAAATGTTTCAACCCCTCACCCATGGTCCTTTTATCTGTCAGACACTGTTTTCAGAGCTCTTTCTCCTAAGTGAAGCTCAGAGGGATAGAATTTCCTAATCATAAGGTTAATAAAAAAAAATCCTCTTGCCTTCTGGTAGAAGGAACAAATGCAATTTCTGCATCCCATCTTTTAAGGTTTCCATGTTCAAAATCATCCTGTACACATTATGTTTCCGTACAGTTCTAAAAAATTTCATGAAATTTATATCATTTATTAGCATTATCTTACATTATCAGCCTTTAAATGGAAATTCAATGGTCACTGTAGGCTGAATAAGTAAAGAAAGAATCTGTCATACCTGTAATCATGAAGTGGCAGGTTGACTTAAAGAGACAAAAATGAAATCATTCTGCTGGTTAGGAAAAGTGAGTTTTGAAATTGAATAAATCATTGGAAGAAACATTCTTTTAATTTGTGAGCTAAATTTGTCACTTGTTGAAAAAGCCTAAACAAAAAATTTAAACCTGAAGGAAGAGGATAAATTGTTAAAAGATCTTAATATTCTTAGTAAGTGCAGCCAAAACAAAAACAAAACAAACAAAAAAAAATTTAAACTGGGGAAACTATGATTAATAAAGAACTAATTAAAAAAATGCAAATATCTCTAACAAGCGTAAAAAAAAAAAAAAAAAAAAAAAAAAAAAAAAAAAAAAACCAGAAAAGTGAGAGATATTGAAACTGCTCTCCTAGAATGGTTATTAGCTACGAAACCAAATAATATTTCTTATTTCTGGAAATTTGAGCATAAAAGCTTAGGATTTTGTTAAGGTGCTAGAACATAATTTTGAACTAACTGACAGATGGCTTGCAAAAGAAGAAATAATATTGTTCATCTCATCATTGTATGATTAGAAGCAAGAGGCAGATCATCATGCGGCTAATTTCTAAAAGACATTTTACTTAGGCTATTAAATGAATATACAAAATTTATAATATAGAGGAGCTTAGATTATGTTACAGAATATATATTAATTTAAAAAATGAAGCAGTAGCTAATTTAAGAAATTGAAGAAACGAGTACTGTATTATTAACATGCAGTATAAACCCAATAATTAAGAGGACAGCATTGGTGACTGACAAAAGCTGAAAACCATGATTAAGAGGAGGCAAGAATTTACTTATAGCGACAAGAACTCATGAATGACACTGACTATTTTTATATTATCTGACTCATGGATGACTACTACTATTGATTTTCTCTTCAAATGGAGGCTGTGAACTGAATAAATAAATTTAAAAAAAGAAAAGCTTTGCTAGTTAGATAACTGTGCAGTGCACCATTCTTGTAACCTCTCTTTGAAAAAAATTAAACTGATGTTAGTGTTTCTTCTGGCAAATGCAACTTCTAACATTCAGCCTTTAGACCGGGGTATTATAAAAGTTTCTATATGCCATTTCACAAAAAATGTTAAAGTGTGATAAAATTTAATCTTGTGAAAATGCAAGCACTTCAAGTGATAACTAATAAGTCAATATTTTTGGTAGAGACCATGCATGTTATAGTCAGTGTCTCTTAAAGTACAGCTAAAAGCTTTTTCAGAAATGTGGGTTTTATTTAGAAGAAGCTTGAAAGGAATTGCAAGCTATACATAATTTTTCGGACATCAGTTAGAAAAAGTTATAAAGATTCACTTTTAGAATATTTGTCAGTTAACAATAATATTGAGACAATATATAAAAAACTGAGTACAATATTGTATAAAGTCTTACTGACAATAAAAGTGATACAGAAGAAAGTTATGACAGCATTAGTTAAGTCTAGAATAGAATTGAAAAACTCTTGATGAGCAATACAAAGCAAATCTGGATAGAATAAATATTTGAAAAAATTAGAATTTAATCAATCGCAAAAATATTTTACTAAGTCAATTTCAAAATTGCATAAATGGTTTAATTTAGCATTAACTATTAGATTGGTTCTCAGTTGTTATCATTTTAGGTAAGTTTACAATTGATATTTGTCACACAAAATTTGCAACACACAAAAAGGTATCTAATATTAAACTCAGCACTTTGTAAACTCGAATATGTTTGGAACAAAAGTGATTTTAGTAAGCAACAGATACTATATTTGCATTGTGATAATTTTTGTAGTATTTCAACTTATAAATATGCTAAAAGGTATATTGATGTTTCTTCTAATTTAAAATTATATACACAACTGTGCTCAGTGGAATTCAAGCTCCAGCAACTCAAAAACCTTTATTAGAAGCATCATATCAAGTGGCATATTTATGTGCAAAAAAAAAAAAAAAAGAAAGAAACCTCACGCGATCGCTGAAGAGTTGATTAAACCTTCCGCTTTAATTATTGCTAAAACAGTTTTAGATTCAGAAGTACATAAATCCAACAGATTTCATTATCGAATGATATTATACTATCGCGAATACAAGATCTCAGACTTTAATGCAAATAATTGAAGACATAAAAATCAAGTCCACTAAAAATAAGCATGCAACTGGATGAGTCAACTGATGTTGATAATTGTAGCCAGCTTTTGGTATTTGTCAGGTATGTGAAAGAAAAAGAGGTGATAGAAGAATTTCTATTTTGTGAGCCACTGGAGGTGAATACGAGAGGAATTGATGTTTTCAATCGCATCAAAGATTTTTTTACTAAATATCAATTACCAATCAATGTGATTGGCTTCAATATTCACTTGATGGAGCCTCCAGCAATGTTAGGCAAAAATTCAGGATTTTTTTCACACAATGAAAAAAGAATTACCGGAAGTTATAATAACACACTTGCATGTTACATCGTCATGCACTTGTGTCGGAAAAGCATTGCCAGAAAGTTTAAAACAACATCTAACTGCAGCAGTAAATGTAGTAAAATATATCCGAGGATGAGCGCTTAATCATCTCATTTTTCGTGCATTTTGAGAAGAAATCGGTGCTGATCATACCGTGCTCCTATATCACACCGAAATACGATGGTTATCTAAGGATCACATGCTTAACAGAGTTTTTGAATTGCGTGAGGAAATTATTCAATTACTGACCAGTCAAAACTGTTATTTAGTAAATGATTTTGAGAGTAATGATGCAATGCTGAGGCTGGCCTACTTAGCATACATATTTAGCCATTTAAATGAATTGAATCTATCAAAAATTATCTTCATTTATCGCAAAATTAGAAATTTGGATACGTCGAGTAGAAAAGGGGAATTTTGCAAACTTTCCCTTGCTTGATTCTGTTATTGCGAAAAATGAAAAGAATACAATTATACCTGACATTGTAATACATTTGAGATTCATTCAATGGATATTTTTCTACCGGAAATTGAGCGAATCATTCAATGGATATTTTTCTACCGGAAATATTACCAAAACCAGAGATGGATACTGGATCCATTTCTATTTGACTTAAATTTGATGGATGCTAGTGATATGAAAAAAGATCAACTTATTGAAATGCGAGCAAGTGGACATGTTAAAATGGAATTCATTACAACATTATCCAGAGTTGCCGAACGAAGCACTGCAGTTACTCTTACCCTTTGCTACCACCTACTTGTGCAAAATGGGATTTTCATCACTTTTACATATAAAAACTAAAGCGAGAAATCGCTTAAATGCAAGTGATGACTTACGCGTATGTCTTTTAAAAAAGGAACCTCGCTTCGCCAGTATAATAATGAACAAACAACAACAGACTAGTCATTAATAAAAATAATATTGTTTTGTTTTTCAATAAACAATAAGTTTTGCAAAAAATGTATTTTTATAGAGTAAAAAAATTAAAACACATTTTTCAATGGAGTGCGGAGATATATTTTCAGATTCAATGGTGTGCGACTCGCCGGAAAGGTTAAGAAACACTGCTGTAGCCAGTATACATTTCTGTTGAGCACCGTCTTTGCATAGGCTTACAACATGCATTAGGCATTAGTGAAGAATGAATGTTTCTACTTTTCTTTCAGAGGATGCCCAGTCTCTAATAGCAGTATAGTTTATATTTCAGTTTTATTCTTTTTAGCTAAAAAAAATATTAGTATGTTTTATATTTATAAAATATTTTGATATATTTGTAAAACACCTTTTTTTATATTGTTTTAAAATGATGTTAGATAAGCATCGCAATAAGGAATGAAAACAAAATATAATAACTTATTACTTTTTCCATTGTGTGATCATTTGTTATAAGGCTGTGCCATATTTATTTGTGAAAATTACTAATGTGTTTATTTGTGAAATGTGTCAGATGTTTATTTGTAAAAAGAATAATAACATCTGTTTTTGGGGGTTTTTTAAAAATTTTCTCCATGTTCTATGTAAAGTTTTATAAAATTTTAAAGTATAAGCTTCTTAGCCTTATATAGAAGCTATGAAATATGTATTTTTAAAACATAATATTTGTTTTGATAACTGATTTCTCTTTATAGATCCAAGTGGAGAGGTATCAGACAGTGAAGAGTTGGAAGAAAAAGAAGCATTGATTGAAGGGGAAGGACATTCAGTCTTAATGAATTTAATGTCTCAGTTAAAATTAGGTGCAGATTTAACAAATGTAAGTAAAAGTAATGTCAAATATGCTATAAGGTACGCTCATCTGCAGCTTTTAATGGTATTATTAACAGCACTATAACTTAATAATTTAATTTTAAATTCAAAATAATTTGTGGTACTGTTGTGTTTTAGAGTCAAGTATATTTTGATGTTATGTAGACCATGATCTGGTATGCATTAACTCATAAATTGCATCAGAATTTGAAAGCTACTTAAATATCAAGTAATGCATAATTTTTTAAAAAATATTTTTATTAGTAGCAAATTTTTTTAAAATTTTCATAAAAGCCCTTTTTGCCAGCTAAAAGGCAAATGTTAGGCGTAGATAATGTTTTCATTTTCATTTTCCTGTATTTGTTATTATATTGGAGGGGGAATTTGGTATTGTTGTTTCAGAGCAATTTAGTTAACATCTATAATTTAAAAAAAGTTAATGTTAACCCACAGAAAATAATAATGAGGGCATATCTGTGATCTGCCTTTGTGTCTGTAATTTTTGTCATCGTTCAACTGAAATAAAGAAAAATTACAACTTTTAAATATAAATATAATAATTTATTTAAATTTTAAATGCAGTTGTAGGTTATATAGCATGTTACAAATGACTTTATAAACTATAAATGAACTTTATAAACTATAAATGATTTTACTCTATTAGAAATAATAATATAAAATCGTATGGTACACATTTTCATTTTGAAAAAATATGAAAATGTGTATCATATGATTTTATATTATTATTTCTTATAGATCTGAATAAGAGAAATATTTTTAATTTCTTTTTTTTATAAGACTAAGATTTTAAAGGAAATATTTGAAAAACAGATTTGGTCATTAAGGGAGTTCAGTACTTATTCAGTGATAATATTATGCATTCTTCACATATCTGGTAGTTTAGGAGCACTGTTGAAAATTAGAAATTATCGAATTGTAGGTCTAATATTTTTAGTTCAAAGGGGCAATTTGCTCTGAAGGACTATTAATTTCATTTTGTCATTTTACATCAAAAACATTAAAAGGCTGTATCACTTTTCAGATTGTTGATACCATATATCATTGTCCTGTCTTATATTTAAAGAAATTAAATCATGAAGAATCTGCATAAGTGTATGTATGTTTCTCGCACTTTGATAAACCAACGGTACCTAAAGCCATTAAAATTTGAATAACGTAATCCTCCATAGAATATGGGCGTGTGGAAGTCCTAATTTGAATTTGAAATTTGTTTTATTATCAATTTCAGATTTTGTAACACTTCAACGAACGAATTTTTGATTAAAAAACTAAACGATTTCAAAGCGAGCAATGGCAACACTGTACGAAAAAAACATTACTGACATTATTTCCAGCCTGCGAAACTCTGTATCAGAAATTCTAAAGATATGCTTATTTTAAAATTAATTTGCGATATTGCTTTTGAACTGAATTTTATAGTTTGTGTACGTAGAGTGTGATATTTACTAAATAAAGGTAACACACAAAACATTAAAAAAATCTCCTTTGGACATCATTTAAAATCTAAAACCCTGCAGGTTTTTTTTTTTAGCTACTGAAAAATGTAAATAATTCCGTAATTTCTGACATTACTTACTAGTGATTCACTGACATCACTTACTAGTGTATAAGAGAATTAAATAAAAAAAAATATGTAGATAAAAATGCTGTAGAATATTTTTTAAACTTTTGTTTAAATGTATGAAGGAAAAGGAGTTGAATAAGTAGATACCAAAAGGGAAGATAATTATATTTCAAATTATTAATGGTATCAGAATTTGAGATATTTTTTAATGCTCAGCGGGAGGTTAAATGACCAGCTGAAAAACATCACAGAAAGATCGCTGCAAGTTCTGTTAAGATGAAGAACTCCATCGACAAAAATACCACTGAGTGAGGAGGGAAGCAGCAGGAATAAAAACCTCTGTGGAAGGGATTGCTTTAGAAGTGAAGATTCCTACTGGAGCAAATGCTGCTGAGATGAGAGAGGAAGCAGCAGAAATAAAAGGAAGTATCTCATTGTCCATCCTTCTCTGAAAGAAAGAACTCAGTGAAAGCAAACGTCATTGAGATGAAAGAAATGGCAGAAATGAAGGAGAGTATTGTCACCATCAATACTATGAATGAAAAAGTAGCCATTGGGGAAGAAAAATTATAAAGAGACGTAGAGTATGTTAATCAAGAGATCTCTGCTGTGAACAAGAGACTGGAGAAGAAAATTCTAAGATTTAACCAGAAATTGGTAGAACCATCTTCATCCGTAAATAATATGTTGCTTCACACCACAGCCTGCTTTAAATAATGAGCAGGTTCAGTTATGTGCAGGTTATGTTCTGCAATTAAGCTCTCGCCATATGATGGAAAGTTGTCAAGGGACATGTACAAAGCACAGTTTCAAATAATTTCTCTGGGGGACCTTGTCATCAAAGCATTAAATCTTCCAGCCTGTTTATGAGGAGAGATAGTGGACCTCTTGCAGATGCTCCCAGCCAAAAAACATTCAGTTGTTGCCATCTTAGTTAGTGAACTATAATTGTTGTTTGGAGAAACACTTCTCAAGGATTCCCACCAAAGGCAGCTTAAGATACGACAGCAAAACGCAGGAGTTCCATCAAAAAGCATCCAGTTCAGTGAAAATTTCAGTACATTTTGCCTTATGTACATTTATAGAGATTTAATTTGTTAATGATCATTATTAAGGTTTTAATTTATTATCCTTTTTAGCTTTGGTTTTAACATAATAACTTCATACATAAATTTTGCAAATTGTGCAAGCAGACTTCTTATATATCATTGTAATGTTTGTTTTCAACTCTTTATTGTTTGTAATTTTCCATTTCTAAGAATAGGCTAGTTATTCGTTTGTAATAAAAATGAATTGATAATAATTTGGCAATACTAGGTCATAATTCATCCCAAATCATTTACTATAAGGTTTGTGTTTTAATTAGAAAAGTTCTATAATGCATTTTGTAATTCATTTAATGCATTGGATGTGAATTTTTTTAAAGCTTTCTTTTTGAAATATATATAAACTGATACTGTAGGAAGCATTACTGATTTGAAAAGGTGATTGATGAGATCTTATTTCCTTCTTTCATTTTTATGTAAAGTTATAATAAAGTTACACAGTTATTGAACAACAATGACTAACTTATATCTTACTAATATATTATTTCTCATAGTTGTATTTTAGATTATGAATGCAAGCATCTTGTGCTTTGAATGTTTCATAGTAAAGTTACTTTTTTTACAGGTTGTTTTACCTAGTTTTATATTAGAACCTCGTTCTCTTTTGGAAATGTTTGCTGATTGTATGCGACATCCCGATTTTTTAGTTAGGTGAGATTATTTTAATTTATTGTGAGAAATAGTTTTCTTTGAAATTAGATTTGAACTCATGCATAAAGATAATGTATCATTTTGCATTGACATTATCAGAAAAGAGAGACAAAACTAATACATAACATATGAGGTGTTTAACACAGATACATTTAATGGTCTCAGCGCCTACAAATAGCTTCTTACTAGATATAGTTGCCTCATATGTGAGGATATCTTAAATTAAGGGAAAATATCTAATTTATAATATTTAAGTTATATCATAGGCTGATTAAGAAAAGTTCTTTCAGTGCCCTTAAATTAAAAAAAAAATATCAAAACTCAGACATTTTGATCAAATTTATGTAAACAGATGTTGCTTTTGCATATTTGTAAGAAAAAAATAAAGCTGTTTACCATGAGTGAAAATAATTTCATGCTGAATTGCAAAACTGGAAGTTTTGTTGAGTCAAATCATGCTTTTCATGTGTAAAATTACCTATACAGTCAAAAGTCGTTAATTCGGACACCCATAATTCGGAATGATCTATAATCCGGACATCAAAACTAAAAACTTTCTGCGCATGCGCCACGTTGACACATGCGCAGAGGCGTTCACGCGTGCGCGTAAGACGTTTTACGACTGCGCATATGAGTGTGCGCAAGTGCAGAATACGTTTTCGCGTGCGCATTTTGTGTATAATGGACGTATAAGCTAAAATTATCTAATTATCTATTTCAGTTAATGTTGATGATTGCGTTGTTCCTTAATTTTCGAATTGCATCCGGCTTATTATTTTTTGCAGACTGTAAGAGCAATTTTATAAAAGCAAGCTTAAACTTTCGATTATGTCAAATAGAATTTCCGATATATATTGTTTAATATGTAAAGGATCTAAAGCGAAAGTATGTTTTGAAATCCGAAAATCTGTTTATCAATTTCACGCTGCTCGGCGCGGCGCCTAATGAATTGGAAGTTGATTTGTCAGCACTATCCTTATCTTCAGCGCAGATGTTTTTTTTATTTTATTGGCTTATAATTCCTTACCAAATGTAGTATTTCATCTCGATATGATCCGTCTTTGATATGATTTAAAACAAGTTCCTCGTCATTATAATTTGCTTCCGATAGCGAAGAAAAGTGACAGAGGTTATTGAAAACAAAAAATTTCGATTGACAAATTAGTCGGTGTTCTGACACAGCAATTATAGGACTTGAACGGCGGAACTTTGTAACTGAACAAGAAATTATGTCTGTTTAATAGAATTAAAGAGAAAGTATTATCACATGAAACGAAGCAAAACTTAAACAACTTTACATTGAAAGAAATGTTTAATAAAGTAAACAAATAAATATTAAGCTTTTTCTTTTTGCAAATTTTGATACCCTTTAGATCATAATTGTTCTTTATTTCATAAATTACGGTTTCATATTTTTAATTTTAGAATTTCTGCATGCCATCTTACGAGATTTAAACTGATGATCTATAATCCGGAAAAATCGATAATCCGGAATCGCCGAAGTCCCGACGAGTCCGGATTAACGACTTTTGACTATAATTTAGTTTTGGGCTCTAAAATTAATCCTACTATTAAAATTTGTATATTTGCATTGATTGAATGAATATCTGTAGTAATATGTTTTTTACTCTTTAAACTATTTTTCTATATTATCCCCACCATTACTGAGGTATTTGTTATAAGCACATACCAGTTTTTGTATCGTTTCTCATCTATCTGTTGATGTTGCATTGTACTTTCATTTCTTTATCATTATCCTTAAAAGATCTTCAAATGCAGGAAAAAGTAAAGTCGTTTACTGTTAAATTTTAACCATAAGGAGGCTGATTCCTTTGCTTCCTGTCAGGTGGTTTAATGAGGATTTGAGTCTGAATAGGGATATGTGACTCTGTATTGTCATAGACCATACTTAACACACATTGGTGAACGAGTATCCGTCACTTGTTGAATTTCTGCACATTTGTCTCCCAATTTTTTTGCTTTAAGAGCGTTTAATACCCCTTTCTCATGTCGATTTTTAATAACAGATGGCGCTACGAACGTTGAGCGATAAAGACTCAAATCTGTAAGACTACCTACAGCCTGGTTACTATGGCAACGACGCTTCCTTCCTCTGTACTTGTTTGGCGGGAAAGTGAGTAAGCCATAAAACACATCCCCTCAGTTGAACAAAAGACCTGCTGTCATTTCTTCCGTCTGTGACTCAGACTGCAGGGTATGTTTTGAACAGGAATAGAACTTTTTCACCTTTGTGTTGAATGAAAGATATCTGTGAGATACGTGCAGCAGTCGCTATTTCTTTTCGCAAAATTTGTTCATCACGCTTTTCAATGTTGCGTAATGTTTCATAATTTGCCGTTATTTTGCGGAAGAAAACAAATTTCATCGCGACATAAAAATTATATATAAATGATTTTATACTTGATGATATGTGTATACATATATAGCACGCACATAATATTCCATTTACTCATCCATCCATAATATTTCATAAATTACCATCCATAATATTCCATAAATATGTGTTAGCACTTTCCAGAGCTTTATATATATTTTTTACTTGTATTATAAAATCGTATAACACTCCTAACTATTATTTTTTTACTTCAAAAGTGGATAAATCATTATCAAATTTTTCTAGTACACGGAGAAATGGTCTATGTATCCACACACATAAACGTAGTAAAAGATACTATTGTTGATTGAATATCTTTTGGCAGCAATATCAAGATGCAACGAAAATTCGAAATCAATTAATAACATGCATTTTATTACAAAAACACTAGCAGGACGTATTATTTGCACAAAAAACTTAGTGTGGAAATAATTTGCGGCACATTATCTGAGATCCGCTTTGAATGAATACATAAAGTGTTATAAATGAACAATCAGTTTTAATATTTCACTTGATACTGAAATGCATAAAATCAAATTGCGTTTCTATGTTTCAGGTTTATAAAATACAGCTGATAATTGAAGGGGTATCAGGTTTATAAAGTACAAGCTGATAATACATGATAAGGGAGAAGAAATTCCTAAATTACAAAATTGAATATTATATTTTAATAAAGTAAAATGATACATATTATAGATACATCCTAAAAAACGATAATATATATATATATTGTATATCGTTGTATACCGTATATATATATTATGTATTTATATGTATATCTACTCTTTTCCGGATGTAACTGTAATTACGTACTGTGCTGGTTTATCATCTTCCTGTAGCGATGCATTTGGATTTGCTGTGTATGAATCTGTTTCATTGAACAGGAACAAATAGGAAACAGAATATTGAAAATTGAATTTTTTTTACAGCATTAGTAATTTATATATATTAGATTGACTAAAAAGAGTATATTCATGCATAACGTATAAATATGCGAAGTGAATACTTTTTGGCAATCACCTTTCTAGGATGATCATTTTTAAAAATAACCAGTACTGTTGATAAAATAAACACCGGTACGATCTATCTGCCTAAGGGAAAGGATGCCTTCGTGGAAGACTTTCTAAGGGAAATTGGCTCCTAGACACGTTACACAGGGTAAAACCACGAAAGCGCAACCAGTCCCTTCGCGGGATTCGAAACTCGGACCGAAATACTGGTGTTCAGCTACTTTACCGCTTCGTGCCTCATTTCAGAGCGGATTCGCTATATATGAAACAGAGTAATGTGCTGTTACCGTATTTAGCAGCCTGCCTTTTTCCTTGACCTACCATAAAAAAATAAAATAGCAAAATTATAACAGCGTCTCTAAAAAGATGCTTTGCTATATTCTCATTAAATCTTTATCATTCTGCGCTACTAAAAACGAAGTACGATTATTTCAAATTCAAAATTTTATAACATTACTTTACAGAAAGCGATCTCATGTCTTCTAAAAATAAAACCCAACATCTGTTTCTACTCAAGCGCTTACTTTCTAGACAAAGTAATTTCAGTGTAACGTACGTTCAGTTTTATCTAACTTTGAACGGAAAAAAAAAAAAAAAAAAAAAAAACTATGTACATAACAGGCAAAGATATTAACAGCACATAAATTTAATCAATTATATTGGATTACCAGAGGAGAAAAAAATAATTCGATGAGATAATTCTCTGAGAATTCATAAACGCTAAATTAAGAATAAATTTTATAAAATGTTTACTAATGAATACATGTATTTGCATAGTAAGTTTCCTTTTTTAAAAAATTTTTCATCTTTATCACGTTTATCGGAGTGTCGTATTTAACTTCACAATTATGCTCCGAAATTTCATTGCTGTAGATTGGATTATTACCAATATATAATTCTACTAGTAACCAGAGCCAGTATTAGAGGTTTTTGCTGCTCACTACAATATCTGTGGCTCTTACTTCTGCCACGCGCCGCCAGTGGCTGAGTGGTTAAGAATATTGATTACTGGAAGTTCGACCTGGTTTCGGTTCGATCCCAGGCGAACCAGCTGGCTGCATGGTTTGTTTTCCTGTTGTGCAACATGAATACGACCCAGTTTCCTTCAGCAATTAGGCTCACCCGCGGCCGAGCGGTTAAATCGCTGAACACTGGTAGTTCCGACCTGGGTTCGAATCAAGGCGAACGGGCTGGCTACATGGGCGTTTTCATAATCTTCCCCGTGTGTAACGTGTATGGGGAGCTTTGCTATAAACTAAACTAAGCCTTCAGAAACTTCCTCCACGAAAGCATCTGCTATCTGCCACCTCGTGGCTTTGCTATATTCAAAGAGCCTAACCCAATTCTAGCACTCAGTTCCTCTCTAAATTCTAGCGGGCGAGCGCTAAAGTCGCCTATTACTGGTAGTTCAACCTCGGCACATTATCTGAGTTCAGCTTTGAATGAAAACAACATAAAGTGTTATAATGAACGATTAGTTTAAAGATTTCACTTGATACTGAAATGCATAAAATCAAATTGCGTTTCTACATATCAGATTTATAAAGTACAGCTGATAATTGTAGGAATATCAGGTTCATAAAGAACAGTTGATA